TTTATATATTTTGCGCATGCTGATGAATATTTAGTAGAGTCATCTAAAATATTTGCACAAAATTCTAAATCACTCGGAACTTTCCCTGGATAGGCTCTTTGTTTCAAATTGAAAGCCAAATCACATAAACTGAAAAACTTATTAAAGAGGCTTCAGAGGCCAAATCACATAAACTGAAAAACTTACTAAAGAGGCTTCAGAGGCATAGGAAAAGGGAATACTTTGCTCTCTATTGGCCCTATTTTTAGAACTAACTTGCTCTCCATACTGCCACATATCTCCAGGTTTTTTCACAAAATAAAAATTTTTGAAAACTCAAAATAAAAGGCAAAACTCCTGATTTGAGTCAAGCACTCAAAATTTAGATATTTTTTAGGTTGCCAGTGCAATCCTAATTCATCTTCTTTGTATGTAGATGAATTAGGATTCAGTCTTTAATTACATATTCACATACTATGTGCTAGGCCTCAGTCTTTAATTACATATTCACATACTATTCTGCCCTACCTCGCACCCCGGAAATCGTACAACACACAGGACGGTCCAAGTTCTTGAGCTGAATTAAGGTTATGCAATGAGAGGAGCTGTTTGTAGGACCTCTGCAATTTCTGTTGCAGACTCTCCTACAGTATGCATTGCTTATGCATTTCAAGGGAATACTTGTTTCTCAGCAGCAGCTTTGTGCTAACCTTATCTCAGATCTGTGGAAAATCTTGTTCTGTAATAAACAAGAAAAGGACCATTATTCTAAAGGCTGTGAAGATCAGGGACTATATTTATACTTGGCATAAGCTGGTACAAGTCCTGCAGAAACAAATGGAAGTTGTTTCCAATTATGCCATGGTTGAATTTGTTCCCTGTACTTCTCAATGGTACACTTTCAAACAAAAGCTGGTCTCAGGTATTTTGGGATCCAACTTCAAAAGGGTATAGCAAATATAAAACATTTTGAAAGAAGCTTCTCTGTTGCCTTTATAAATATCAGTAGGAGAGCCGAAAACCTTTATAAACATCTTAAAGGACTTTTAAAAAAAACTTTTATATTTCAAGGGTTTTCTGTCAACAATGTGTTTTATGTATTTAAAAAAGAAACTGGCAGTGTCTCTTAGAACACAAGGAGGTAGGGCCACATTGATTTATATGGGCCCAATTCCGTTCATGTTAGTTATGAACTCAATGCATTGTGCATGTAATATCACAGATTTGTAGTCTTCAGATTCTGAAATTTGCTTCTTCGTGATCCAGAGTTCAAAGTAGCCAATTTCCGATATGAAGATTTGACACTGACTGTGTCGATAGATTTGAGTCCTCCCTTGAGATTGCTGTTATCCCTATCTAGCCTTCCAGTGTAATTGGGAATACATACACACTAAGACAGGGAACTGATCAGTGTACTATAAGCCAGATTTTGCTCTGTTACCTAGATATAAATCTAGAGTAGCTACTTGGGTTTCCAGATTTACACCAATTTTAGCTCAGTCAGAATTTGGTCTGTTATTTTAGACAGACACTAATCTGATCTGCGTTTAAATTCATGATTCAGAAATCCATTTGATTTGCAAATGTTTTAAAAACATGATTATTTCAAAAGTGCAATGAACATCATGTTGCTTGCAACTATTTGACTTTATAATACAGGATATTTCTCTCATATTTTTTCTATGCATTTTATTTTAATGTCATCAACTGCTTCCATGCCGACATTAGACTGCTTGGCACTGCGCATCCAAGACATACTCGATCTGATCCAACTAAACACTGCTTTCTCACCCAACTCCTAAATGAAAGAACAGTAACACAGCCATCCCGGTTAACCTGTGGAGTTGTTCATTACTACAGGAAATCAACAGTTCAAATAGCTGAGACTATGCTGTCTTCTTGGGACTGAAAAAAGGAAAGCATAATATGAGTTAGCAATACTGACAAGCTAGAAGAATCGGAGATACAGCCAGGAGCACTCAGTTTCAATATAGCTGTTTTAAGGATGCACTTGGCTGTCTCTGCTAAAGTTAAAGGGTCGGCCCCAGGAAGCTATGAGAAAAGCATGTTGGGAAAAAGTTTATACAAGAAAGCAATCTTACACAGAAGAGAGATCATGCGGTCCAGGTAGATGCTGAGGATGGAGATGTTTTTGATCTGTGCTTACATAGCACCTAACACAATGTGATCCTGGCCCATGAGTGGGGATCATGAGAGCTATTGCAATACAAATGATGCTATCACCTTTGTATCACACAATGAACCTTGTTCATCTAATGAAGTGGGTTTTACCCCGAAAGCTCATGATTCTCTCTCTACATATATTGTTGTTAGTCTCTAAACTGCCACAGGACTACTCGTTGTTTCAGAAGAACAGGTTAACTTGTATGTTAATAACACATGTAGTTATAGATACTAAAATAGAATACCCAAACCTCATGCTTCAAGACGTAAGATGATCGGCAGGCACCAGGAAGCAACATTTCCCTCCATTTAGAGTAGAACTTAAGAGCCCAGTACTTGATACTCCACAGGAAGATAAAATCCATTGTACTGTGTGGCACAGTGTTCTTGTGAAATGTTGTCTAGGGTGGTGAGGGTGGGGATGGTGTTTTGCTGGTCTGCAATGATCAGTATACAGCATGCCTGTTAATGGTGTAGGTCTGGCAATCCAGAGGCTTTACACACATGATATAAAGATCTACAGTAATAGAATTCACAGATTATAATGGTCCCTTCTGGCCTTAAAATCATCTAGCCTGACCTGTGTAACACAGGTCATAAAAATTCAACTAGAAATTTTTCCCTTGACCCCATAACTTCTGTTTGAGCTCAAGCATATCTCTGGCAAGCTCCAGTCATGATTTAAAGCCTGAAAGTGATGGAGAATCCACCAGGACTCTAAGTGGGCTGTCCCAATGGATGATTACCCACTCTGTTAAAATGCACATCTCATTTCCTCTTTTTTTTGCATGTGTGATGATTATGTATTGCGTATATGCATACATTTCAACAGTCAAAGCCATCACGCCACCCCTCTTCCTGTCATGTGCGTGTCCATGATAGGGAACCAGGCGGTGAGTGGCAGACATGGGCCAGGCAGTGAATGCGGAGCAGTGATGGGTCACAGTGATGCGGGACAGTGGAGGATGTGATGGGCGTAGTAACATAGCGGTGATGGGGGCACAGTGATATAAGGCTGTGATGGAGAAGGTAATGGAGGGCAGTGGTGGGGGGTTGAAGTATTGGAGAAAATGCTCCCGTGCAGTGAAGGGGCACCGAGCTGGAGAGAATCAATGGAGTTGATGATGTGCAATAGCGATGGGAGCAGAATCACAAACCAGTGATTGGGCACCGTGGTGTAAGACTCTGGTAATGGGCACAGTGATGGACGAGGCAATCCAGGGCATGGTGATGTGAGGTAGAAAGTGGGGCTGTGATGCAGGACAGTTAAGCTGAGAAATGATGGGGCATGGTGCTGTGGGACAACAGAGGACCTGAGGAATGCAGAGAGATGATGCAAGGCAGCGATGGTGCACAACAGCGTGAGGTAGCATTGGCTGAGGTCATTCAAGGCATCCATGAAGCACAGCAGTGTGGGGCAGCATTGGCTGTGGTGGTGCGGGGCAGCATTGGCTGTGGTGGTGCGGGGCAGCATTGGCGCAGCGTTGGCCATCGTGGTGTGGGGAAGCATTGGCCGCGGAGGTGCGGGGCAGCATTGGCCACAGTGGTGCGGGGTAGTGGTGGGGCTCAGTGATCCAGTGTGATTAATTCTGCATTTCTGAGCGTTCAGATGGTGAACAGCCTGAACTTTCTTCAGGCTGCTTGTGTTATTTAGGGTTCCTCAAAGGCTGACTTGAGAAACATCAGTGAGCCACTCAGTAAACCAGCAAGCATGAGAGTTCTTGTAACTTAGCAAGTGAGGCAAGTCTCCTTACCAGGCCCAGGCTGTGCTACTGCTGCAGGGTGAGAAAGAAGCCTTTGAGTCTCTCCACATTTGGTTTTCAAGCTGGAGTGTAATGCACCCATGGTTTACCCACGGAATGGCCTTTGATCCTTGTGGTTACTGAGCCAACAGCTAGAGACTGGAAAGTGGACACCTGCTAGCTACTAGATGATGGTACAGAGGGTGTTGCTGTAGCGAAACTGTCTCAGCAGTGCCACCTGTACTTGTAATCTGAAACCATCTTCTCAGTGAATGACACTCATTAATGCCATACTGTACATTCTAAAGTAGCTCATTTACAGAACACAACGTAGCTTGCTGTCCAGACAGATTGAAGGAAAGGAGGGTGATTTGTGAGTCTCATGAAATGAATTCATCTAGTTTCTCCGTGTCGGATCCTCTGTTAGCAATGACTTAAAAGCAAACAGTGAGCCAGGTGGTGTATGAGACACAAAATGAAGCCAGCCAGAGCATCTATCAAAAGAGTTCATAAGCTTAAGCTCCTCTCTTAAAGCAGGTTCTCCTCTGAGGTCTGTGGCATTCTGGCTGGAGTAGAGGATTCTGCCTGCATGAAATTCCTTGCAGGATTGGGGCCTAGAGAACAAACAGAACACACTGAAAAACCCAGAGGAGGGAGTTTATAACAATAAAATATTCCAGCTGCTGTTAAACTCACCACTTGTGGGTAGTGAAGATTCCCAGCTAGCAGATCGAAAGTCTGTATACTGCACACACTCAGAGCTATTGCACATTCCCAGATACTCTTGATACCTGAAATAGCATTTCCCTAGGACTGAAAGAAGGGAGCTGACATGACTGTAGCAGAATGCCACTGGTAGCTTTATTTTAGTCCGATAAAAAAGCAGATATTCTCCACTTACTCTGTACATTCAGAGTCACTTCTTAAAGGCAGTGAAGTTACTCCAGCTCTGCACATGAATCAACATGAATATTTGGCCCCAAACAGCCAATAATTAAGAACACTGCTGGGTTTTTACTATAATGATTTGAAGTGATTAAATTTAGGTATTGAGTAACTACTGAATGTTCTTTATTTTTTCTCTCTATTCTGAAGTATATTTGGTGCTGTCCGAACTGGTGCTTACATGCTGTACATTCTGATGACCAAAGGCCTGAAGCAGTCAGTGTGTGACCAGAGTTTTTACAATGGACCTGTCAGCAAATTCTGGGCTTATGCCTTTGTACTAAGCAAAGCACCTGAATTAGGTGAGTACCTGCTCTCCTTTTTTTTTTTTTTTTTTTTTTGGCCTACTGTGCACACTTTGGGCAAAAGAGTTTTTGCAAAAAAACGTGCAAGACCATTCAGTGCTGCTGAAAACTTCTTTTTGGGCTTGTAAATAAAAAAGCCAACCCTCCCCATATTTCTGTTGCTAACTTTTAAGCCCAATTATGCTAAGATTAGATCCCCCCATATTTCTCAGTTGCTAACTTTTAAGCCCAATTATGCTAAGATTAGAGCAGTAAAAAGTTGTCCAAGATGATTCACAAGCCCCTCAGGCCATGTCACCTTAGTTTTTAGCAGTTTTGATTTAGTTTAGGTAAACTATGGCTTTTGCTTAGTGCACTCATGCCCTGGAGCTAACCCATGGCATTTAGCCATAGCTACGAGCTGGGGACATTTTAGAACCAAATGAAGCCCACACATTGTTCCCCTCCTGTAGCTCTCCGGTACCCTGGGGATGGTACAGCCTGTTCCTTCCTGGCGCACAATTCCTCCATGGGTCATTGTGGAGGTTAAGTAGGCTCATGGCCCTGTTCCTCCTAGCCCCCTCTCTGGAGCTCTTGGGGCAATGGACAGAGCAGTCTCGGTGCTCCCTCAAACTCAGGGCACCTTATTTCTCTTTGACTTTTTGGAGCGTATGAAAAGAAGCTGAGAGACCTTTTGTGCCTTTGTTTTCCCCACTTTATTTGTACATCTGTGCTAGGGTTAGGGACAACCTATTAGCAGTTCATAGTAGAAGCGGGAGTTACCTAGTGTTATCTGCTCCCTTCTCCTGCTGATTAAGCATAACATTCATGCTGAGGCAATCTCCTCTCCCTCAGGAGGTGACTGGAAGTGTCAAATAAGCCCACATTGTATTGTTTTTTATGTATCTCTTCATAGGGATCCTTGTTTCTCCTATCACCTTATCTAGAGATAAATAAACCTTTATCTAATGAACAACAAATGGTGTATTAGCACTTTATAGACTTAACAAAACATGTAGATGGTATCATGAGCTTTCGTGGGCACAACCCACTTCTTCAGATGACCGGAGTCAAACTCATCTGAAGAAGTGGGCTGTGCCCACGAAAGCTCATGATTCCATCTACATGTTTTGTTAATCTATAAAGTGCTACCAAACCATATGTAGTTTTTTTAAGTTTATCCTGTACAGACTAACTTGACTACCCCCTGAAGCTTTATTTAATGGTTGTACCAGCCAGGGCACTGGAAACTTCATTTCTTCGCGTTCATGATCATAGACTCAGGCCTTCTGCAAATTAGTTTGGCCGTGTCCCCTATTTCTAAATTTAGCACTTGTTAAACTCACTAAACTGCTACTGACCAGGGCTGGATGTCTGCCACTGTGCTAACAACCACGATGTCTTAATTGTAATTGAACTACAGTCAACATACAGATACACTTAAGGCCTGATTCATCCTCTGATATGAACTTTTCACCAGTAAAATAGCATTGACATCAGTGGAATTATACTTCACTTATATCAGCAGAATCAAGTCCATAGGCCTGATGCAATTTGTTCAGAATAAAAAAAGTTTAACAGGAATTATCAGAATGTGCAGCCAGAAAAGGTTATCCAGGCTGAAGTATAAGGAGAAGGTTCTATATAGCCATGTGGAAGTACCCAAAAGCCACCTAGAATCACTAAGAATTGGGAGTGGGGAAGGGACTCAAGAAGTACCCACTGGAAATAGAAATGATTTTAGGTCCAGGTACCTGGGGCTATTGAACTTTGTGCAGCTGGTGGCTCAGGAACACCCCCTACATATTGGTCTCCAGGTCAAGAAAATCTGATGTAACCCATTGTTCAGCATCCTCCCCCTCTCTCCCATTCTTGCCTACAGCAGAGATGAATCTCTTAGAGCTGTCAGCTAAGGTCCTTAACCTCAGGCTGCTAAGATTCTCGGTTTAGCTCTGGAGTTCACAGGTTCAGTAGCTAAGAATAAATATACTGACTGTATCAAGTGTCAAGGGAAAGTTGCAGCCTTAGGTTTATCACTGTACTTTGACTGATTACATGAGGACAAGTCCTGGACCAGTACCCAATCTAGTATGAGACACTGGATTCCTCCCTAACCTTATCTCCCATATATAACCATGTACAAAAAATTCACTTTCAGAGTGAACAGGATGCCCCATGTCAGAAACTGTGAGTGATTACAGATAAACATTAGGGCTGTGTCTAGACTGGCAAGTTTTTCCGCAAAATCATTTGATTTTGCGGAAAAACTTGCCAGCTGTCTACACTGGCCACTTGAATTTCCACAAGAACACTGACGATCTCATGTAAGATCGTCAGTGTTCTTGCGGAAATACTGTGCTGCTCCTGTTCGGGCAAAAGCCCTCTTGCGCAAATCATTTGCGCAAGAGGGCCAGTGTAAACAGCACAGTACTGTTTTCTGCAAAAAAGCCCCGATCGCGAAAATGGCGATCAGGGCTTTTTTGCGGGAAACCGCGTCTAGATTGGCCACGGACGCTTTTCCGCAAAAAGTGCTTTTGCAGAAAAGCATCCTGCCAATCTAGACGTGCTTTTCCAAAAATGCTTTTAATGGAAAAGTTTTCCGTTAAAAGCATTTTCGGAAAATCATGCCAGTGTAGACATAGCCTAGTAGAGTGATCTGCAGTGTCACTCAGCATCAGCCTTACTGTATGCAAATCTGAAAGCTACACACAATGACATCCAGCTGGAACATCTGGAAGCAAGAGGCTTCAGGTCTCATTCTGCCTCCGTTCTGTTTTATTTGTCCTTTGTGTCTGTACACAGTCTTCCCCCCACTCTCCAAATACACCAGAACCCTAGCTGGCAGTTTGCTTAATATTGTAGTTCTTCTGCCCACCCTCGGATGCATCCTGCATCTTGGAATAGATTTTGTAAATGGTTTTTCTCTGCCACAGTTTTTGCAAGGTGGCTATAAAGTACATACTTAGTAGAAACAACAAGTAGTCGTTAGTCTCTAAGGTGCCACAAGGCTGTTCACTGTTTTCACAGTTATAGACTAACACAGATACCCCTCTGAGACCTTTTATACTTGGTAAAGTATGTTTAGTATGCAGCCTGTATGTTTGTGTCTCACAGGACCTCTCAGTATGAAAGAGAATGATCTTAATGAAAAGTAGGAGACTTTCAGCAGCCCTCCTGTGTTCACTTTTGAGGGTGCAGGTTACTGAAACCTCACAGAGCTGCCCAATTCACTAAATACAGATGAAAAACAAACCTATTCTGGCAGTTTAACAGCAAAACTCAGTTCAGTGGATTTTAGATAAGCAATTTTTCAGCCCGAGAAGGAGACACTGCCCCCTTCTTGCTGTTTCAAACTTTTTGGTTTCTTACTGTTTGAATTACATCAGAATCCACTTTGCATCTGGTTTTATTAAAATCGGAAACTATCTGCTAATAGTCTAGGTTCTAACAAATGTGACTCAGCATTCCTACAGTCAATGAAGCAAACATGTGCCCAACTGCAGCCTTCATATGTAAGGCATAGATTCAGTTGCCCCCATCACTAATGTTTATCATTTTGATTTTCCAAAGACATATGTGCATAAGAACACACTTTGTTTTCAAACCTGACACTTTCTCCACTATTAATCACAGTCTATAATAAAAGTGTACATTTATGAATAAAATAATTAAGATGAGTGTGGGGGGTGGCAAACAGCGGGAAGAGAAAGAAACAATAAGGCTTTGTCTACACTGCAGGGTTTTGCGCAAAAAGCTTTTTGCAGAAGAGATCTTCCACAAAAACTTCTTGCACAAAAGCATATCTACACCTGCATGGATGCTCTTGCACAAGAAAGCTCTGATTGCCACTATCAGAATGGCCATCAGAGCACCTGTGATTTTTCTGATAGGCTCTTTTTACGCAAGAAATCCTTGCGGAGCATCCACATGTGCCTTTTTGCTCAAGAGCTGTAGCGCAAAAAGAAGTTATTTCTCATGGGGATAGGAATAACTCTACCGGCAAAAGCCCTCTGTCCTGTCGATTTACTGTATTTTTTTTTTTTTGCACAAAAATGCGCTTAAGTTGTGGACGCTCCGTCAGTTTTTGCGCAAAAACCTTGTAGTTTAGACATAGCCTAAGTGGAAAGACTACAACATATTTTTGCAGCAGTACCATGAGAATTTGGAAAAAGGGATTTGAGATATTTCAGAATTACCCCATTTTCTCTCTAAAACCAGGAAGTATCCACACTTGCACCCCATCCCCCCACCTCACCTCCCGCCAGTGGTACAAATTGTAGCTGGTTCAGGTTGATTTGCACAAGTATCAACTATTCAGATACATATTCTACAACTTGCACAAGTATCAACTATTCAGATACATATTCAAACTGTTTGAACTGGTGGAGCCCAATGTTGTCATACTAGTCATTCAATCTAAAATAACTTCAGTGCCATTAATGGAGCTCATTACATAGATATATGTGACTGAGAACAGAATTTATTGACCTTAGTCTTAAAAAATGAGTTGAACCTCTCATGACAGCAGGCCCTTCCTTCCAATGTTTGGTACTTCTGGCTCCAGATTGGCTAGAAACAGACCACAGACTTTCTGTGATTTTCACTACTGAGTACATTTAGTCAAGCCACAAGCAGACAGTACAGAAATGTGTGAAAATGAAAACCCTAAAAAATCCCAGAAATTTTCCCCAAAACCTCAGACCTCTTTGGGTAGGAGCTCTGAGTTAAGTTTCAGTGAAAGCTGCAACCAAGATTCTCAAATATAGGTAGTGATTTGGCTGCCTCAGGTTTTTGAGGCATCTTAAATGGACCTTATTTACAGAAATTGCTGAGCACAAGCCCCTGAAGTCCAGTCCTATAGCAGGTGTCCCAAGTTGGACAGTCAAAAAAAATGAGGCATGCAAAATCACTAATTATTTTGAAATTCTTGACGGTACTCATTATTTTATGCTATATCCCACCCTCACTCCCCAGCCACAACAGTCCTTTTAATAATAAAGTAATAGCAGTTACGTCCAAAAAATCCTCTTTGCATGGATGGAAAAACCTAAGGCCTTTAGCATGTAGACTTACTTTCTTTTGTAAATGACCTTTGTGCAGACCAACTGTGTGAGATTTGACAATAATTTGCTCAAGTCATAATATTCTTTATATAAATTCTGAAGTTGTGTACATTTAACCATTTTTTTTATATTTACAGAATCAGACCTTGATTACAAAAAATTTTTTAGACTAGTCGCTCCTGTTCACATTTATATTAACACTCAGAACCACAGGGGTCTAGATATTTATTGGTGAGAACACAATGGCGCAAACTCTTCCCTCAGTCACCCAGGATTGTCACTGCCAGGTGTAAATTCTCATGGCCTGATTCTGTAATCCCACTGGACAACACACACAGGGGAGGATAGGTCCCATAAGGAATCATCTTCAATTTGTCACATATGCCAGGATAAAGTGATACAAAGTCTTTGTGCTCTTTGATTGAAATATTCAAATTTTGGGGGGAGGGTTGTCTAAATTTGGACACCTACATCCATATTTAGGCACCTAGTTCAAAAAAGGCTAAGTTGCTACCATTCTCATTGACATTACTGTGAGCAGGGGTTAGAAATCAGACACTTTAATCCGTGTGCCTAAATATATGATCAGGACCTAATTTTAGGCACATGGGTTTGAAAATATTGACTTGAATATTTGTGCTTATAATCTCCAGAACAGCACATAGTCAGTCTTCACTTACTATAGTTAGGTTTTGGTTTGTTAAATATGATTTCCTGGTGTCTGTTAAATACCACTGTTTCCTGCCGTTGCACTGGACAAATGGACATTGCTTGTGTTCAAAACATAAAAGCACGAGTCAAAAATACAGTCCTTATGAGATACCACCAGATATTACCTCCTGAGCAGAGAATGTTTCTAAATTAAGTGATGGGCATTTTGAAAGAGCAGTTGCCCATATCACAAAGATTGGATCCTATGTGTTTTTTCAGACCTCAACTTTTGGTTCCACATCATTAAGATAAAGGGACCTGGGTAACACCTGACTCTGGGCATGAATATAGAAGTAGCTTCTAAACTCCAATAAAGCCTTGAGTATAGGGGTGGTTGGAGCTGAGTTTTTCATCAGTGCCCCAAAATGCTATAATCTAAATAATGTCCCACCATTTTCAAAGGAAAAGATGTGACAGAAACACAAGAATTACAAAGTAGTTTGATTTGCTTCTGATACCTCCCTCCCATCTTCTCTCTTACAGGAGATACAATATTCATTATTCTTAGGAAACAGAAGCTCATCTTCCTGCACTGGTACCACCACATTACGGTGCTGCTTTATTCTTGGTACTCTTACAAGGACATGGTGGCTGGCGGTGGCTGGTTTATGACCATGAACTATGGAGTGCACGCTGTTATGTACTCTTACTACGCCTTGCGGGCTGCTGGCTTCCGAGTCTCACGCAAGTTTGCCATGTTCATCACCTTATCACAGATCACTCAGATGTTGATTGGTTGTGTAGTTAATTACCTGGTCTTCTCCTGGATGCAACAGGGGCAGTGCCACTCCCATGTTCAGAACATCATCTGGTCTTCTCTCATGTACCTCAGCTATTTCGTGTTATTCTGCCATTTCTTCTTTGAGGCCTACATCGGCAAAACCAGAAAAGCAAGGAAGGCTGATTAGTGGTATAAAACAAGACAGAAGCCATAGCTCAGGGTCATCAAGAAAAACAAAAGAAAAACAAACAAAACAAAATGGCACAAGGAAACATGAATGGTGCAGCTAAACCTCGGCAGCTTAGGGACAGCTAGGTTGGTTTAAACCAGTAAGTTTATGATCCTATCATGGTGAGGACTCACTGAATTCTACTCCATCTCTGACGACTGCTGAGGAAAGACATCTTCCTTCTTGTACCTGTCAGCTCTGAAAAAGGAAGGAAAATAACATTTTGCAGGGGAGAAATAAGCCTTGTGCTTCCCCAAAGATGGAAGAAAGACCTTTATAAAAAAATTATTTCTATATCCTTTCTAATCTTTTTTTCTGCATTCAATTTGAACAAAACAAAGCAGAGAGCAGACAAACTATTTGTGTCTATGATACCAGTACAGTTACAAAATTAAAAACTTTATCCTAAAGGGTTGACCTGTTTAGCCCAAATGTGAAAAACGAATGGTTATCTTGAATGTTTGTTATGGAAAGTCATTGAACTAGTGAATGGAGTTGATAAAAGATTGATTTCTCCACTCTGTGATATGCTGTGCATGCAGATTTGGGATGCAACATCTATGCTTTCAGCAGGCAGAGAGGAGCAGTAATTTTTCAAGATTTAAATTTGATGAGATACATATCATATCTCAGAGAGTGCTTTTTCCAAGTGCATTTTCCAATCAAAGTCAAGGAATTTCTGCAGCAGAATAAGGCAGAGGGTTAAATCAATCTCTGTTACATTGCCTGGAGCTAACAACAGAGTAATGGGTGTGGAGGATGAGAACCCCCTAATATTTTTTAACAATTATCTGTGAGTCTCAAATTAATCAGCAGTATTACAGCAGCTGAAGTAAATGAAAGTGGGGAAGAATCAAAAGAAAATTTAGACAGCTAGAGACAGACACTCTATCTACAGAATAGGGCCCTGTGGTACAGCACATATTTTATATTTTTGTGAACTTAAGAAAAAGATATCTGCAACCGTAATAGCATTCGGCAGGACTGTATGTGACATTGGCTAACACTGTGTTTCTGCATTTGCTTCATGAGCAGTGCAAAGAAGTTTAAAGTGCCCTCCTCTGGTCATGTGGAGATACTACAACAAAACTTACTTGGAATAGTTTTTCTTGAGACTTCTATAGAAATATTATTCTAATGAAATCATTTTGCTGCAACAGCTTAACTATAATGTCCAGGGAGAATTATCCTTAATTGAGAACAATCTGCTTTGTAGCATCCTACTGACCACTTAAGAAGACATCCTGTTCTCAAGTCAGCTACAGATAGGAGAAAAGATATTTCACTCTGCACCTGAAAGGCAGTTAGTTGATAAGAGCCATATTCTTTCAAAGAAAAGTAGATTGCGTTATCTGTAATTTTTCAGTCCTTACAAAGCCAAATAAAATATGTACAAGTTCCTAGTATTTAAAAAAAGCAAGTATGTAAACTTGATGTTAAATGTGTTAATGTAGTATTCTAAATTGTAATCAGTTTGGTAGTTGAACTAAACAATTAGAAGAACTAGATGAACAGAATATGTTCTGCATAGAATATACACAACTAGACCCATAGACACATTATGTGACTTGTCAACAAGAAGAAAGTCCAGTGGAAGAGAATCACATTTTCTGGCTAATGCAAAAGATTGTCATTATCTTTTTTGCTTTAATTTGAGATTGTACAGTACAAAGTATTATTATTATTATTATTATTTTGGCTTTAATTGTGCTGACATTCATAAAACAGAGCTGCTTAATATTCTATGAGAGATGACAAGGGCTTTAAGTGTCTCTATGTGAAGAAGAACAAAAAATAAAGTTACATTCCGTATTATGTGAATGCTCTTAAAAGAATCAGAAAGTCCTTGGGGGCCTAACCATAACCATAACAAGCAGAAAAACAAGTTTACATGTGTATTATTTGCATTAGTGATGTTCTGGCCTTATATTATGGTACACAACCAACAGCAAAATGTGATATTCAGTAATGAAGATGACGTGAGCTTAACTTAAAGAACTACTGTATAACTGGAATTATTAGACAAAGCCAATTAAATGTGCAAATGGTGGTATTTCACAGCTTTGGAAGTAGAGAACGATAATCCACAATGAGCTGTTTTCTCCTACTTAATTTTTAGCCTGGCTTAAAGGTAGCAGTAACCGAACAAAAGGAAAATAATTAAGGATGGAAAAGGCAAAATTAAACTTAAATTCAGTCAGAACAGAAGCATCAGTTACAAGCCAATGATTGTGCCATTCCAATGTTCAATTCTTTCTGTGGTCTCTAATCACTTTCTATGCAGACTGAAATGAGGTTATGGAAGTAAACCCACATGTCTTTTGAAATTACGGGTGAAATCCTGACCCCAATGAAAACAATGGGAGTTTTGCCACTGACTTGAATGAAGCTAACATATTTACCTTATAATGCCACTTCTTTCGTCTGCGTAATGAGGAAAATACATTCATTTTAATTTCTTTTATGTTTATGGAAAGGCTCAGTAAACATTACAAATAAGAAGCTAGATCATAGGTATGTAAAGTATTGTGAGTTGATCTCAGTGGTTTAACAGAGGGAAAATAATGCAATAGTTTTTTTTTAAACAATTATTTCTTTGCAGTATTTTCCAAAAATATTTATGCATTGTGTTTAATCTGTCAACAAATGATACTGCATTTAAACATATAGAGCCAGATTGAAATCTTGGGAATTTTGCCATTGACTTAGACAAAATCAGAATTTCACTCCACCGTGGAGTACATTTATACAGCAAATACAATTACGAGTATATCATGGGTAGACATATCTATGTTAAGTAGATTAAAGTTAGCATGGATAACAGTAGTAAAGGACTACCATGGATGTGTTAGCAAGGACTTCAGCATGAGCTAGTAATCCAAGTACATACTGAAGTCCCCTCAGTCAATGGGAACTCAGCTAGCGAGTAAAGTTTTCATGAAAATAAATGGGACTGTTTACATAAGACCTACTTATTAATGGAGTGCAGGATCGGAATCATATTTGGCAGCATGTCTGAGTAAATTGATAGCTTTACTGAAAATTGAACTGTCATTTACTTTATCTGATGCCATGCCATGGACTCATTTACTTATGCCCTATTTAAATTGCAGTACAGTACAACAGAATTTTTACTGATGAAGTTTTAATGGATTCAAATGTGATATTCTCAATTCCTTTAAATTAGATTTAGTCCAAATACAAAAATCTTTGTTTTTCTATTTTTATTTAAAAAAAAAACACACATCCCATTCCAGCCCCTGTCATTTAACCCAATAACATACAGGCGCAGTTTCAGTCCTGGTGTAATTCTACTGACGTTTATACAGTATTGCCAATCCAATCTGTTTGAAATGTATGAGTCAGGCCCTAAAAATGGTGATTTAAAAGGTGTTAGGTTTTTTTTTTTTTCTCTTCAGCATTTTGAGCCTCATAGGCTCACAGTTTCAACATCTGCTCTACAAACATGAAGGCTTATATTTTGTCAATGAAAGCTTAAGATTTTATTGTCACATGACTCCAGTCACATGATTCTGGGAGCTCAGATTGTATGAAAAACACCAAGTATTGTAGACCTAGGATAAAATCATGACAGTTGTCAGGACAAGTTTATGGCATTCATTTCGACTTCTGAAATCAAGGAAGTTTAACCAATTATAAATTCAGCCCTCTGGGGCCAAATTCTGTTCTGATTTATATAGGTATAAATCCAGTATAATTTCACTGGAGGTAGTGGAGTTACTCTAAATTTACACTCATGCAGCTAAGAGCAGAATTTGGATCTTGCTAAGCAGTGATATTATGTGGTGACTATTTAAAGAAAATATTTTCAGCTGGCTGATAAAATATCAGAAAGTAGTTTAAGTTTGAACTCTCTTTCAGTTATGTCTGTGGGAAAATAACCCATGTGTACAAACATTTGTACAACAGAGTCACAAATGATTTTGTGTTCAATCTCTCAGATGGCACATAAGGATTCTAATCTGGGTGCAAAGGAGAACTACATGGTGTCCACCAGCAGAATGCCACAGTAAACTAACAACCATATTTACGTACAAAATAAGGATATAGTCATGTCAATGGAATACACTCAACAAGCAACCTGAGTAGATGAAATCATGGATTAGGGTGTATGTTATGGGAGATACTACAAGGCAATCCTGTCCTGTTTCCAAGAGATTGTAGTTACTGATAAAAACTATTTACTAATCAGAGTGCAGGTTAGTGTTACAATTAAGACATCAGATGTGAGAGTTTAGAATGTGGATTAGCACCTTTTCTAGAAATGAGTCTAATGTAAAGGCGTTGTATGCTATACCGCTTATACTACTGCGGCTGGTGGAAAACGCTTCAGTGAAATAGTTTGTCCCTATGCATTTTGTGGAGTATTTAATAGTACAATGGCTCCCTGGTCCCTCTCAAGTGTTTTGACAATTTCAGAATTGTTCTGTGGTTTATTTTTAGCTGGTAATCCTCATGATTTGATTTCAGTACGTTTCTTCTCTCTTATAAAGTGAACTCTTGGGAAAACGTGTTAGTTGACAAACAAGTGAGCGAAATTCTTGGTTTTAGATGATCAGTTTTATGTAACAGACTATGTAAGACACAAATGATTGTGACAATGAAAACAGCAGCCTTTCTGAACAGGTGCCAGATACAGTATATTAGCACAGTGTGATGTAGCAAAACAAGTTTGCTTTCTGTTTTGCTGTTTGCTTTCTGTCCTGTACTTCAGAACCACGTATAATAGTCTAATATAGTTATATACAGGTATACCTTCTGTATAGTAATAAACTGGCTTTGATGGAGGAAGTAATTTGAACAGATGATGATGAACTCCTACATTGGTGTGATGTCTCTTTCTCCTCCAGGGCCTGATTCGAAGCCCACTGAAGTGGATGGAAAGATATCCATGAACTTCTCTAGATTTTGGTTCCAGGCTTTAAAGTCCAGTCCAACAAGGTGATTAAAGATCCAAATCCTGCTAAGTTCAATGGGTGTTGAGGTTACTCCACACCTCACAGGCCCTAGAGACACTTAAGTCATTAATCCTGAGCCACATTACCCTTCGTAAATGAACTGTAGAAATTATGAGGAGAAATCTTCAATAATTTTCTGTTTTTTTATTTCTGCACATCTTAGGTTCATTTAAAGACAAAAAGATCCCAGTCCTGCAACTGGACCTATGCCTACCTGGAACCAGTTGCAGGATCAGTGCCTTGGTCCAGGGTTTGTTTGTTGTTCTTTTAATATGGAAGCCAAAACCACCGTGGAGGTTTCAAAATAACCAGCTAAGCCAACACACTTTAGATAAGCTTTGACAGTGAGTTCTGCAGGTTGGGAGGTAATGGGCCTTTCCTAAAACTTCAGTATCTGAGTGGAATGCTGCATTTAGCCCAGTCGATGTGTTTCAGTCGTTCCTATTGGACACAGCAGTATTCCTCTTACACAATGAGAAGTCCTTCTTCTTCCTAATCTGAGCAGCTTTTAATCGGCCCATCTGCCTAAAAACATACCCACCCGCCCTGCAGCTCGGATTAACTTTTCTGCTTTCTCAAAATCCATTATACCTTTCAGGCTTCTTGGAGTATTACAGCTCAAGCTAGATTGCTATTCAGATAAGATTAAATGTGTACAATAACTAGGAAAGCGTAATAAGAGAAATATCTTTATTTTGCCATTTTCAAATGGATATTTCACTACATAAAAGGAATTTTATTTTTATTTTGGGGGATATTGATATTCAAAATAAAATGTTAACTTTTGGTTCAAATAAATTATTTTTCTGTGTTTTATTTTCTTATATTACCTCTTGGGGTAATAACTCTATCATTTGTGGTTATAGGGCCACTGAGGCAATTCTTTGGCCATCAAACTATAGTCTTCCTATTGTATCTTTCACTTCATACCCCGCTCCTTGCTATGATGTTTGTACACACACACGTCTCTTTAGTCTTTCTGAATATGTGTACATTTTAGATGCACATAAAAGGAATTTTTATTGGTAACGGATTTTTAAAGGATCATAGTTTTAACTTCAAAAAAGCGCTATCCATAATTTTTATATTACACTCCAGGCCAGATTTAAGGGCAAGAGACCCAGGCAACAGTGTGGGATGTCAGACTTCTGGAGGGTTGACCTCAGGGTGCTATTTTTGTTGCTACAGGTTGAAACTCTCTAGTCTGGCACTCTCTAATCCGGCAATATTAAAATTAAAGAATTTTAATCCAGTATGATTTTAGTTAACTGGATATCCACTTATCATGTGACTGGCCAAGTTTCCCACGGTCCCACAAAGTTTGTTTACAGCCACCAGTCCTAGCTCTCAGTGTTCTGTGCTGTTATTTCACTCTAATTTACTCCTAAATGTCTTCTAAGATCTCAGTAAGCAGTGGAAGTGTTGGTAATGCTGCTACACAATACTGACCTCCCTTTCTTTGGCAAATTCTCTTGTTTCAGCAGTGGTCAGGTCCCAATGGTGCTGGACTAGAGAGGTTCAACCTGTAGCAACAAAAGGGAAAACAGTGATTGAAGTAAAATGTTTCTGGTATTTTATAGTCAAAAGCTTAAGAAATGGAGGCAGGGGGCATCAAAGACATTCCTTGCCTGGGGCGCCATTTGGGCTAGGCCAGTTCTCTGCATGAAAAGTACTCTGAGTGAAAGGGAGGGATGCTCAAACAAAGGAAACAATCCTTTGAGAAACTGTACGCTCCTTTGCTTCCATAAAACTGAAAGAGTCACAGTAACTTCTACTAAAGTTTTCTGAGCATGTCTCCCCTTTCGTAAGGAGTTCTTCCCAAGCTCTATGTGCCCT